TATATATATATATATATATATACATACATATATATACATATCTATATTGATATATGTATATAATATATATATATATATATATATACATATATAGAGAGGGAGGGAGGGAGAATGAGAGAAGAAGAAATGAATGTTTGCTTAGCGATTTATTAATAATTTAAATGCATGCGAAGAACAGCCGTTCATATGTATACACATATATATACTTATATATATATGCATATATATATACATATATATAGAGAGAGAGAGAGAGACATAGACAGAGACAGAAGAATAAGAGTTTGTTTACCTATTAACGAGTTTAAATGCATGCGAAGAGTAGCCGTTCATATGTCTATATCCATCTGGAGTGCCTCTATCAGAAAAAAGAATTGTAGTTTGATGAAGGGACTCGGGAGAAAGAGAAAAGAAGCCCCACATCATATCATTATTTTTAAGGTTTGTTTGAGGGTCTCTTTTCTGTGTATGTATGAAATCAACAAATTTTAGGGGGTCTCTAACAAAGAAGACGGGGGTATTATTACAGACCATATCATATATCCCTTCTCTTGAGTAAAACTTTATCGCGAAGCCGCGAGGGTCACGGGCTGTATCTGCACTGCCTCTCTCTCCTCCTACCGTTGAGAACCTTACAAATACTTCTGTCTTCAGTCCTATCTCTTTAAATATATCAGCCTTGCAGTATCTACACAAACAAATATCAGCAATTCTATCTTATTAACATCATCAATTATATCTTCACCCTTTCTTCTAACAAGAACAAAACCCTCTACCCTTTATACCCCTTCTACAGCATTGCTCCATGTGCTAGGGTTTAGGGTTTAGGGTTTAGGGTTTGTTTGCTAATTTATTTATTTATTTTATTTCGTTTTAGCTTCAGGCACTGCTCAGTATGCTTATCAATTGTAGCTTATATTTAACCCTAAAAACCCTGAACCCTAAACCCTAAACCCTAAACCCTAAACCACAAACCCTAAACCCTAAACCACAAACCCTAAACCCTAAACCCTTGCTGACTGTGTAATATCGTCTGTGACTTCAAAATAGCCGTGGGCCCCCGCGCCTTTTGCATGCACAACCCTTTCCTGTAAATATAAAGCAAAAGAAGAGCTGTGGTGTACATACACCTCAAGTTTTATTATCTTTGTCTTTATACTCTAGTTTTATTATCTTTGCGTTTATACGTAAAGTTGAGGTGTACGTACACCGCAAATGTATGTAAAAATAATATCTAAGAGATGCCAGTAATAATACTTCCTTATAGAAAGGAGACAGAAGAAAGGAGACAGTAAAAAGTAAACAGCAAAAAGGAGACAGTAAAAAGAAGACAGTAAAAAGGAGACAGTAATAAGGAGACAGAAGAGAGAGAAGAAAAGAGACAGAAGAAAGGAGACAGAGGAGACACAAGAAAGGAGACAGATAAAAGGAGACAGAAGAAAGGAGACAGAAGAGACACAAGAAACGAGACAGATAAAAGGAGACAGAAGAAAGGAGACAGAAGAGACACAAGAAAGGAGACAGATAAAAGGAGACAGATAAAAGGAGACAGAAGAGACACAAGAAAGGAGACAGATAAAAGGAGACAAAAGAGAGGAGACAGAAGAGACACAAGAAAGGAGACACAAGTAAGAGGAAGAGAGACAGCAACAAAGAGAAAGGAGACAGTAAAAAGGAGACAGAAGAAAGCAAACAACAACAAAGAGAAAGGAGACAGTAAAAAGGAGAGAAGAGAGACAAACCCCAAACAACACGCACAGACAAAAAGGGTTTTGTGTTTAAAGAGATAAACAGATGAAGGAAGAAAGCATGAAGCATACAACGGGCAATGAGGGTTTAGGGTTTAGGGTTTAGGGTTTAGGGTTTAGGGTTTAGAGGTACGGGGATGCGCTCTCTGTTGAAGTGAGCCAATTTATCCAGCAGATGAAAATCCGAGAGGAGCTGCGCACAGACAAACCCTAAACCCTAAACCCTAAACCCTAGACACTAAGCCGTACACCCTAAACCCTAAACCCTAAACCCTAAACCCTAAACCCTAGACACTAAGCCGTATACCCTAAACCCTAAACCCAAAGCCGTAGACAGGACACCATCACCCGCTAACTCTACACGCTCTGCCTTCGAAAACCCTAAACCCTAAACCCTAAACCCTAAACCCTAAACCCTAATCTTACCACTGGACCATAGGGCCCCGCTGTTAGGGAGTTGTTATCGTCTGCAACGGGGGCCCCCGTTGAAGTGGTCATCTTAGGTGGACCTGAGCCCTCCATTGTGCTGCAGCAGCAGCAGCAGCAGCGGCAGCAGCAAAAGAGAAAAGACACATCATAACAGCTGCAGCGGGAGCAACAATAGCAGAAGCAGCAGCAGCAGCAACAGATGCTGCTGCAGCTGCTGCAACAAACACACACTTCAACAGTAGAAGATGCTCCACATAGTCGGAAAGCAAACAAAAGCAGCACCAGCACCAGCAGCAGCAGCAGCAGCAGCAGCAGCATAGACCAGCAGCAGCCGCAGCAGCAGGTGCTGCACACAGAAGTATTACTCGATGAATATACACAGGACAACTCTACCTAAAGTTATTTGTTTTTAAAGATAAATAGACAATGAATTTAATTAAAAGAGAAGCAGAAGAAGACAAAGAAACGAGAGCTTCTCTCTTCTGTGCAAACTCGATAGGTGTATATACACTACAAATTATGCGACGGTGTCTCTTGAGGTCTCACTTTAATATAGACAAAAGAAATGCACGTATAAAGAAATAATAAGTAGAATATAAACAACGAAGCACAACTTTGTATATTATTATTAACACCTTTCCTGTCTGCTGCTGTTGCTGCTCCTGCTGCTCCTGCTGCTGCTCCTGCTCCTGCTGCTGTCGTACGCCGAGGGGCCCCAGTTGCTGCTGCTGCAGTTGCTGCGGCAGCAGAAGCAGCAAAAAACAACTCAGTATCTTCGTATTAAGTCGATTTAATGAATTAAATGTATTAATTATATTCAAAATAAATAAATTTCATCGGTAATAACACAAAAAGATGCCGCACACGATATACACCCGAAGAGATGGCTGCATATACACTCGGGCAGGCACGGGGAGCAAGGTGGTGCGAAGGGATGTACTATATTTTTCTGCTTTGTTTGATTTAATTGAAATAAATAGATTATTTAATTATAAATACAAAGAATTACCTTTATTCTTATCTAATATCATACATTAATGTAGAGTTTCACCACCCGTGCTGCAGCAGTTGCTGCTGGAGCGGTTGCTGCTGCTGCTCGGACCAATGGCTGCTGCTGCTGCTGCTGCTTCATTAGAGTTTGTAGCTCTTATTTTATTTTATTTTATTTCATTGTTAAGAGTTTATTAACAAATTTAATTGGTGGTTCATTGTCCTGCTGGCGGCTTGTGCTGCTGCTGCCTTTGCTCAGGTGTACGTGCACCCGGGCACCAGCAGCAGCAGCAGCAGCAGCAGCGGCAGCAGCAGCAGCAACAGGAGGAGCAACATAGGAGAGTATTTTTGGGTTTTGTTTGTCAAGATTAGTTGCATTTGAATGCATTTGGAGTTTTATTTTTTATTTATAACTACTAAGAATTTGTTTGATCTCCTTCTGCTTATTGCGTATACCAGTGTGTGCACGTGCAGCAGCAGCCTCAGCAGCAGCAGCCCTTCTTCTTGCCTCCTTTTTTTCTTCTCTGTTTAAGGAACTCCAGAGGTTTTTACTTCTGGCGGTGGAGCAGCAGCAGCAGCAGCAGCAGCAGCGGTAGCAGCAGCAACCGCAGCACCAGCAGCAGCAGCAACAGCAGCAGTACCATCAGCCACAGCAACAGTTTTCAACCTCATCGGCTCTAATCTCCGTTAATTAATAATCCATATATAAATTTGTTTGTCTCTTTATTGTCTATTAGCATATAATGGGTTGTACACAATCTTCTGCTGCTACTGCTGCTGCACCACCTCCCTCATCAGCAGCAGCAAAAAACGGATCCGCCTCCCCTTCAGCAGCAGCAGCAGCAGCAGCAGCAGCAGCAGAATCCCCTCGCCTTCTTTCTCCATCACCAAAGGCCCCCCATTCTCCTACACCTAATGATCGACCCCCCTCAAGGGGCCCCCCTGGGGGCCCCTCTGGGGGCCCCTCTGGGGGCCCCCCTGGGAGTCCCTCTGGGGGCCCCCCTGGGAGTCCCTCTGGGGGGCCCCCTGGGGGCCCCCTTGGTGAGGGTATTGGTATGATGGGTGGTGTGGATGTAGTGGGTACTGACTGTGTACCTCCTCCCGGAGGAAGAGATGAAGAAGTGCTTCGAATAGGCAAAGCGCCCCCAACTTTGATGAATATAAACGGCGAAGCAGTTGGAGGCGGAAGGATAAAGAGAGAGAAAGTTGTTTTAGAAGGAGGGGCTGTATATGAAGGCACGTGGAAAGTAAGGGGGCTTTTTTATTTTCTTTCTCTATCTTTCTAGGGTTTAGGGTTTAGGGTTTAGGGTTTATAACTTATTGTTTGTTGTTTATTGTTTATGATCTATTCTTTATTGTTTATTGTTTAGGCTTTATTTTTTATTTTGTATTGTTTAGGGTTTATTGTGCATTGTTTAGGGTTTAGGGTTTAGGGTTTAGGGTTTAGGGTTTAGGGTTTAGGGTTAAGGGTTTAGGGTTTAGGGTTCATTGTTTATAGCCTATTGTTTATTGTGTATTATTTATTGTTTATTGTTTATTTTGTATTCGTTATTCTTTACTGTTTAGGGCTTATTGTTTATTGTGCATTGTTTATTGTGTATTGTTTATTGTTTAGGGTTTAGGGTTTATTGTTTAGGGCTTAGGGTTTAGGGTTTAGGGTTTAGGGTTTAGGGTTTAGGGTTTGGGTGTGTGTGCAGGATTG